TTCAGGTACTTACACTACTTGTTAATGATTTAATTCCATACTAAAACCAATGGCCACTACTAGACCTGTCTGTGGCCTTTGATACTGTTGGCCATCCCCTCCTCCTCAAAAACTCCATCCCCTTGGTCTACAAGATTCTGCTCTCTCTTACCTATCACAGCACTCCTTCTGTGTTACCTATAACTCTTAAATAAACAAAGAAGGGGGCGCAACCTTCAAACCCACACTTGTAATCCAGAGAAACAGCTTTCCTGATGTTGATATATCATGAAATGCATTGAGGCCTGGCCACTGCTGTCACTTTCAGTCCCCTCTACACGTCACTTCCGGTGGTTGGATCTGGTCCATGATAAAGCACGCCGGCTCAGACATAGCAAGCGGCGCTGAAAGGTATTTGATTCATCTCATGCTTATTGTGAATGTTGCTGGCACTTTTTCATGTGAGTGCACCTATTTGTCATTTTTTCTTTGATTTAAAAAAAAACACTATAGAAGCATTTCTCTCTTTGAGTGTTTGTGCCGTTATATCCCGCTTGTAAGAAAGTATCATTGATATGCCTTCTGATATTCTGTATCTGGTGAGTTATTACTCTTACTTGGATCATTAGATCATTCAGTCATCATTGGTTTCTGGGAACATGGTGTGGAAAGATATTTTGTGGAATCAATTTATAGACTTTCTTTCTTTATGGACACTAAAAACTTCCTGTGACTTACTAATTTTGAAAGTTTTATGCTGAACATTGTTTACATTATTATTATTGACATATTTATGTGATTAGTAGTTTTCTTAGCACTTTTGGAGTATTATGATTGGTATGAGTAGTGCCTTTCACATGTTAACATAATACCTATAACTCTGTCTTGTCCTTCCTTTTATTGTAGGAGTCCCCCAAGGCTCTGTCCTTGGACCCCTTCTCTTCTCCATTTACACCTCCTCCCTTTGTCACCTGATAAACTCCCATGATTTCAGTACCATCTCTATGCTGAGACACACAAATCTGTCTCTCTACTCCTCACCTCACTCCTTCAGTCTCCTCTTGCATTACTAACATACTAACTGACATATCAGCATGGATGTCACACCACTTCTTCAAACTCAATCTTTATAAAATTAAGCTCATAATATTCCCTCCTGCTAATACCCCCTCGACTGACTTTCCTCAAGATCAATAATACAACCATCAGTCCCTCCTTTCATGCCAGGATGCTAGGTGTAATCCTGGACTCTGACCTGTCCTTTCAGCCCCAAATCCAAAAACTGTCCAAATATTGTAGACTTCAACTCTGTAACATCTCCAAAGTACGCCCCATTTTAACCGTTGAAACCACTAAGCAAATTTTTCACTCCCTTGTTATCTCTCACCTTGACTATTGTAACACCCTCCTCATTGGCCTACCTAATCGCAGGCTATCACCTTGTCAGTCTATCATGAATGCTGCTGCCAGACTCATCCACTTTACCAACCATTCTGTGTCCACCATCCATCCCTACTAATCCCTCCACTGGCTCCCAATTGCCCAACAAATAAAATTCAATACATTAACAATAACATAGAAAGCTATTTACAGCTCTGCCCCGAGCTACATCACCAATCTTTTCTCCAAATATCTCCCAAACCATCCTTTCTGCTCATCTGAAGATCTCCTGCTTTCTAGCTTTCTTGTCTCCTTCTCATATGCAGGATTTCTCCAGAGCCTCTGCCATCCTCTGGAACTCTCTACCCCAATCTGTCCAGCTGTCGCCTACTCTATCAACTTTTAGGTGATCCCTGAAAACCTATATCTTCAGGGAAGCCTATCCTGCCTTCATCTAGTAACCAAATCTTCTATTTCTCCCATCTGTTTATCCCCCAGAGTTATTACCTTTTGTTCCACCACCAGCCCCTTCCTATTAGATTGTAAGCTCCCAGGAGCAGGGCTCTCCTAACCCTCTTGTATTGAATTGTATTGTTGCGGTATTGTAGCTGTATTGTCGTCCTTTATATTGTAAAGTGCTGAGCAAACTGTTGGAGCTATATAAATCCTGTAAAAATAATAATAATAATAATAAAATAGCACATACCTGTATAAGGATGCATTAATAAATTCATAGCTGCATTAATCTTTGTGTTTTATATCTACTAGGGTTGCACCGATACCAGTATTGGTGTCAATACTAAGCATTTGGACGAGTACTTGTACTGCATTCCTGTTCAAACCACATATAATTCTTTGAAGTCCGATTTTGACCCATTCATTTTGTATGTACTCAAATTGCAAGGTATCTGTAATTGATATTGGTGAGTACTTGAGCACAAGTATTGGTACTCATACTCGTCGATAAAAAAACGGTATCGGTGCAACCCTAATATCTACCTGGATTTAAAGGCCAACTCCATTTTTTCTTACCATTTTTCTTACCATGTTACACCCATTTAGGGTGTAACATGGTGCCAAAAATGTAATCCATTCCAGATGTCAGTTTACATACCAAACCATATTAAAATTTAACTTTTACATTCATGCAATTTCAAAAATGTAATTACCTTTTTTTTAAGCATTTCACTTTGTGTGCATACATGGTTTCCTCAAATATGATACAGAAAGAACAGGATTTATGGAATACATTTCATCTTGTGTAAATAGAACTGTTTGAAGAGTCTTTGGAGCTTAGAGAGGGGTTACACAAAGTGCAAAAAGAGTGATTTGACTTGCAGTAAGACCCTGGCTCACTAATGATGGCTAATTAATTGACTCCTTTTTCGCAGTCATTATCAGAATTTTGCAGTTATCAGCTTTCCCTGTCCCAGATTTGCATTCTATCTTCAATGAAAATCACCAACATCCAAACCTGCTTTCAGCCTATAGACATCAATACAATGGTCAGCAACAATGGGCCTGCATGCAGGGGCTATAGCTTTCAGTGTGATAAAAACAATGCTGTGATCAGATAACCCTCATTGCCCTTATAACCAAGTGAGCCTACAGTAAAGCTCCCTCTACTCTAGATTTACAAGTATATCACTGAAGATATTTCTAAAATTACACATAGACATAAGGTGAGGTGATGTGCAACTTTATAAAAGGGGACTTTATTCTTTAACCACTTCATGTCCGGACACTTTTACCCCCTTCCTGTCCAGGCCAATGTTCAGCTTTTAGTGCTGTCACACTTTGAATGACAATTGCGCGGTCATGCAACACTGTACCTATATGAATTTTTTAGCATTTTTTGAGACAGATAAAACTTTATTTTGGTGGTATTTATTCACCACTGGGGTTTTTATTTTTTTTGCTATATAAATGAAACAGGCGAAACATTTTTTAACCACTTGCCATCCGCCTACTGTTTATAAACGGCAGGACGGTGGCACTCCAGGGGCGGGTTGCCGTTCATAAACGGCACTCGACATTTCTAGCTGTGCGCGCTCCCTGGGAGCGAGCAGCACCGCGATCCAGTGCCCACTGTGTCCTCCGGACACAGTGAAACACCCATTGTCGGACGGGACCTCTGTACGAGGTCCCGATCATGTGATCACTGATTGGACAATCAGTGATCAGATGCAAAGTAGTAATCAAGATGTCACTTCTGACATCATTGCTTACTACGTGTGAAATCTGTGAATGATCACAGAGATCACATGGTACAAGGCTATTTACAACAGCCTTGTACCATGTGACAAGCTGTGACCAATCACAGCTCACTCAGTAGTTCTCAATGGCTGCAAGAATGCAGACGGAGAGAAAGAGAAATGATTGCTTTTACATCCTATATGGGTGTAAAAGCAATCACTGTAAAAAAAAAAATCTTCATCACCCCCCACAAGTAGTACAGTGTCACCATGGTGACACTGTACTGCTAGGGTGACAGTATGTAAAAAAAAAAACAAAAAAAAACAAATAATATAAAAAAAATAAAGTAAAAATGTAAATAAAATGTTTAAAAATTATAATTTTTGGTTATAAACTAATATAATGGAATACATTTTGGCCAAGATTTATGATGAAAGATTATTTATTTGCAAAAGTTTATAAGAAAAACACTTTTTTTCAAAATTTTTGGACTTTTTCATTTACATAGCAAAAAATTAAAATCCCAGCGGTGAATAAATACCACCAAAATAAAGCGTTCTCTGTCTCATAAAATGCTAGATGCTCATTTACTAGGTTAAGTGGTGGGGAAAGACCAGTTTTTATCACCCGATCCACTCTTCTCCAAGTGAAGATGATATCTTGTGCTTTGGCAGTGGAGTGTTCTGCAGTGTCCTCATATCCAGTGGTATGGGTCCAGCATAAGTCTTTGTGACCTCATGGCATATTGTCATTGTCATTGTCATTCAAAGTGTAATAGCGCTGAAAGCTGAAAATTGCCCTGGACAAGAAGGGGGTAAAAGTGTCCGGACAGGAAGTGGTTCAAAAAGTGTTTTTCTTATAAAATTTTGCAAATAAATAATCTTTCTTCATAAATCTTGGCCAAAATGTATTCAGTTATCTTTTTAGTAACAAAAAATAACCCAAATTAGTTTATAACCAAAAATTTTAAATAAAAAAAAAAGTTTTACATTTTTTTAAATTTTTTTTATATTATTATGTTTTTGTTTTTTTAACACACAGTCACGCTAGCAGTACAGTGTCACCATAGTGACACTGAACTACTTGTGGGGTGATGAAGATTTTTTTCTACACTGCTTGCTTTTACAGCCTTTATGGGTGTAAAAGCAATAATTTCTCCTCTCTGGCTGCATTCTTGCAGCCATTGAGAAATACTGTGTGAGCTGTGATTGGTCACAGCTTGTCACGGGGTACTAGGCTGTTGTGTATCTTGTGATCTCTGTGATCATTCACAGATTTCACACGTAGTAAGCAATGATGTCAGAAGTGACATTTTGCTTACACCTATTCATGTGATCGCTGATTGGCCAATCAGTGATCACATGATCGGGACCTCATACAGAGGTACCGTACAGCGATCAGTCCGGACACAGCGGGCACCGGATTGCGGTGCCGCGTGCTTCCAGGGAGCATGCACAATCCAAAATGGCAGACGTCATTTATGAACAGCAACCCGCCACTGTCTGGCCCTTTATATACAGCAACCAGACGGGAAGTGGTTAAAATTCTACAATTGCATTGCCAGTAACATTTTATTGGTTAGCTCTAATGAGCCGGGCCCTCTGTTTCCTCTTGTACCAATTTGTATTGTAACTGTAATGTCTACCTTCATTTTGTAAAGCACTGCACAAGCTGTTGGCGCTATATAAATCCTGTATAATAATAATAATATTGGTAAACTCCAGGCAAACGGCTGAATATATTAAAAAAAAAAACAGTTTTACATACCAAAAGGAGCAGTATGTAAATATTTTCAGACACTCTTGTGGTGCAAGTGCCCCTACCAGACACAATTACCAGAACAGTGACCCCTCCTCTTTTACACTATAGTTAAACTAAACAGCATGGTCACAGACTTGGCTGGTCCCAAACTTTCTGACTGGACAATTGACCACCAGACCTCAGGCTGCTCTATGTCACCAATCCACCAGTAGTATATTTCTCTCGATATAGATTCCCATTAACACATACTAGTCATCCTTGTTCTTCACTGTTAATCCTAACAAGAATAGTGATTTTATTTACAATATATTATTTATTATGACTAGGACTAGACATACATTTTAAAATATAATTTGGTAAGGCAAATGATAAAAGCTCTACCTTCTAGTCTGAACTGAAAGTAAATATTTATAAGTAATTAGTCCTTTTTATGTTTTTTTACAGACTATCACTACCTGCTTTGCTGTAAAAACCTGTTGTTTGAAGTGACCCTGTCCTGAAGCGACCCTGTCCTGACATAACATCTGCCAAAACTGGCATAACGGTAAAAGAAAAATGTAAAGATGTTCCTTCCCAGCTGCTCATGGTGCCACGTACACCACTCTTCTCAAAGGAGATCCTCCTCTGATGCCCTCAGGGAAATGGGACACTTTGGGAGTGTAGATAACTTGGGTTATTCACAGCCCTCACTGGTTCCTCCGTCTGACATCCACTAGTGATGTGGTGATCAGGAGAAGGAATCTGAAAGCTGCAGGGGACCCAAAAGATCAATATTCCCAGAAGTGTTGGTTCCCTGCAGACCTCAGAGGAGGATTTCTCCTGAATGTAGTGACATTTTGGTGGCATAGGCAGTGAAAAAAATAACTTTTATTCTCTAATTCTGAGGTATGCCTAGTTTGAGAAAATTTCATAAAAGGGTTGCAAAGCGTTGTGATTTCTGCATAAAAAAACAAAAACAAAGTGCTCTGTGAATCCTGTGCTATATATGTGTAGCACCCTATAGTGTACTACAAGGGTTAGTGTAGGTAAATTTATTGCGTATGACTTATGGTAACTGTGTGAGTCTGTAATTAGGTCGGGTTACTGCAGTTCAGGCTGGATGGCTTAACAGGTTGGGACTCTATCGCCTCCACCTGGTTCTGGAGGACCATGGAAGCTTCTAGAAGCTATTGGGTGAAAGGGTTGGAGACCTAATCTGCATGAGTCTACCCAATCCCAGGTTTCAAGACCCTGGTAAAGTGGTGAGGCGAACCCATAAATATGGGAGAGTCAGGCTACCAGGGGTGTCCGGTGGAGGATGAAGTGCTGAGGAGGCTGTCGGTGGCCTGGGAGGGATCCCTAAGGTCTAGGGGGGCTGAGCTTGGGCTGGCTCAGGAGAATCCATTCAGCATCATGGTATGAACAGGATCAAGTCTTGGGAGCAGTGGGAGCAAGGAGGATAGAGTGAGTACATCAGCACGCCCAGGGATTCACAAGGGGAGAGACTGCCACGTGTAGCAAGCTTTCAAAGGACAACGCTGTGCCTAATCATTTATCCTTGTCCAGGGAAACCTTCAGAGCAGCCAGGAGGGCTGGTAGCGTTTGCACACTATGGAGCTGGGAGCAGTTCTACAGGGGAGAGGAGACATCTCCGCATGTAGCTTGCAATCTAAGCTAACTTTCAGAGGGGCTGAGAGTCCCTAGCCCATACACCCCAAAAATGGGCTAGACAAAATTATTGGCACCATCAATGTAATACTTTGGTAGCACACCCTTAGAAAAAAAAGAAAAAAACTGAAACAATTTGCTTCCTTTTTTGTGTCATACCAATACAAACAAAATGGACTGGACAAAATTATTGGCACCATCAATGTAATACTTTGGTAGCACACCCTTGGAAAAAAAAACTGAAATCAATTGCTTCAGCCCGTCGACCCGTCCGCACCCATTGAGCACTTGCTGCAACATGACAGTTGCCGGTCAGATTTAAGCAATTGGACGGTGACGCCACCACTAGCAACACCTATTTGTTTACATTTGACTGGCAAATGTCAGACCTGTCATATGGCATGATTGACGATGGATTACAACAACGAAACAATTTTTTGCCTTTTTTTTAATTAAAGGACTTGTCAAAAACTTTCACTTTTTATTCAATTAAAAATTTTATTTTTTTTTCAAAAGATTGGTTTCTTTATTGTTACTGAATTTAACCCTTTAGTGAATGGGAAGGGGCCCTTGTAAGCAGCAGGGAGGGGGGGTGCACGATCGTTTCACCCCTTTCCTGCCCTGCCAAGCCTGTGCTTGGATCGAGGGTCTGATAGGAATTTAGGGGGGACCACATGCTTCTGCCTATTTTCTGGGGGTGGGGTTCCCCTTAAAAGTCATACAAGGCCTAAAGGGCCTAGTAGGGCTTTTAGGGGAACCCCACTAACTTTTTTTCTCCTAATTTTGGGAGGTGGGGTTCCCCTCAAAAGTCCTACCAGGCCTACACTGTCTGGTACGGCTTTTAGGGGGAACCCCACACACTTTAAAAAATTTTTTTTTTTTACTGTGGGCTCTTAACCTTCCTACCAGATCTAAAGGGTGTGGTAGAGATGGGGGGGGGAACCCCACATTTTTTTTTTCTTTATAACATGTAAAAAAAAATGTCAGTCGTGCTGTAGCAGTTTCTAAAATTGTACAGATATGCAACTTTGCAGGTAGTTTATTATCATATTTAAAGGAATCTTCTCTCTTTTTTTTACTTTAAGGAATGAAACATTACTGCCCCTTTAATAACGATACGTTTTGAAAACATTTTTCCCACTGGTTCATGTCCCTCGTGGCAGTACCCGAGTCCCCATACCCCTTTTATGACCAATAGCTTGCATATAAGCCTTCAAACTTTTGAATTTACAAGTTTGAGTCCAATAGACTTGCATTGAGTTCGAAGTTCATGGTCAAATGTTCATTAGGTTTAAACGTTCAACCGCAAACTGAACACGGGGGTGTTCAGTCTATCACTAGTGCTCAGTAACCAGTCTGACTGAATACCGGCCTGGGATGCACCGCTGGACCCTGTAAGAGAAGATCAGGTAGGATCGGCAGCTTTTTAAGGAGGTGCCACCATGGTGCAATCAGGAGAAGGTGGTCTGACAACTGGCTGAGTTTCTGAAGAATTCGTGGGATTAACGCCAGAGGGGGAAAGGTGTATGCTAGCTTGAGCCACCAGATCTGGGTCAAGTCATCAAAGCCTTCTGACTCTCTCTCTCTCTCAAGATATTGAAAAGAAGCTCCTCACCTTCCCGTTCTTGCCATTGGCGAAAAGGTCTGTTTCTGGGATGCCAAATTGTTGAACAAGAGCTTGGAAAGCTTTCGGGTTCAACTCCACTCCCGCTGTCTGATCGGCTGGCAACTGAGGAAGTCCGCTTCCTGGTTGTTTGTCCCTTATATGTGAACTGCTGCCGTTATAGAAAGAACCTTTGCTTCGGCCCAGCCCAGGATCTCCTTGGATAGGTCTAGGTGACTTCTGGATCTGGTTCCTCCTTGATGATTCAGGTATGCCATACTGCAGGGCTTAAAATTTCAAGTCCTGAGCTACTAGCCAGGCCTTAGAGTTACTCGCCACCAACAAACACACATAAACAGAGACACCTGTACACACACACAGACATGTACATGCACACACACAGAAACATGTACACACACACACAGAGACACATGTACACACACATACAGACACATGTATACACACACAGGCACGTAAAGACACACATACACACAGATACATGTACATACACAGAAATGCACAGACACATGTACATACATACACTTGTACGTAAATGTACACACAGGCACTTGTACGTAAATGCACACAAACACACACATGTACACACACAGACACATGTACACACACAGACACATGTACACACACACAGACATGTACATACACTCAGACACATGTACATACACACACACATGTACAATTGTACATGCATACACAGACACAACAAACACACATACATGTACACGTACACACGCACCACTACCACCCCCCCTATAAAACGTTGCAGATCTGGGTGCTGCACTCTAGGGGGAGGCAGAGAGCACAGCACACACTCTTTGCTTTGCTTTGCTTTCACTGTGCTCAGCTATTGAGCAGTCTGACGGCTCCCAGTGCCAATGACAGATCCGGCCTGAGCTCCGAGCCTGCTCAGCAAGTTGGCCCTTGGGGACACACTCGCCCCCACCATAATTTCTACTCTCCATTGGCGAGCAGGCGTGTGGAAATTTCACCTGCCATAGTGGTGGCGTTGGAAAAGCTGACTTGAACCTCCCTGCCCGAGATACTGTTCTCAAAGACCTTCAATGCTTCACCTACCGCCCTGAGTTCTCTGAAGTTGGATGAAGTCTGGGATATCGCTTTGTCCCAGGGACCCTGTTCTTTGGCTTTCCCTAAGTGAGCACCCTTAGGGTGCTTGCACCTGTGATGACTTTCAGGGGGTCCCACTAGGCCCAGGGCCTGCCTTTCTGAAGATTGCTGGGGATTATCCACCACTCTAGGGAGGATTTTACCTGTAGAGAGAGGACTATCTTTTTGTCCAAAGATTTTGTCTTCTTGTCCCAGCAGGAAAAAAAGGAAGAACTGAAGGTCTCTTGAATGGAGCTGCACCCACACAATGGTCGGAATAGTTGCTGATATCAGTCCAAGCACCCTTAGGACCTCCCTTGGGGAGCATGAATTTTTTTTTTTCAGACTTCCCACCGCCAGGACTATTTTCTCTACCTTGTCCCTTGATAGGAAGAGTTTTTGTACTCTTGTATCCACCACATAAACTAAAAAGGTTTCGACCTGCTCTGGGTCCAGTGATGATTTTTCTACAGTTACTATCCAGCCCAGTGATTGCAGGGCGGTGATCACCTTCCCCATATCTGCCTTCACCTGGGCAGCCGAGGGATCAAATATTAGAAGAACGTCTAAATAGGGAATCAGGATTATCCCCTGGAGGTGCAGGAAAGCCACTGCCTGGACTAGGACTTTTGTAAAAATCCTTGGACTAGCTGCTAGCCCAAAGGGAGGGGCTTTGCACTGCCAATGTAATATTTCTTCCATGGTTACTATCGCAAACCTCAAGTATGTCTGATGTTCTGGGTGGATTGGGAAATGTAAATAGGCATCCTTGAGGTCCAATATTGTCATAAAGGCCTCTTTCAGGAGATTTTTGCGCACTGAGTATATCATCTCTATGAAAAACCTCTTGTGTTCCAGGAATTTGATCAGATTCCTGAGAATTATAATTAAGCAGAATTTGCCTGAGGGTTTGTGAACAACAAATACGTGGGAGTAGAATTCCAGGTATTGTTGACTTTCTGGTACAGGCACTACTACCTGCTGCTCCGCCAGCTCCACTGGATTTACTTCGGGGGACATTGTTTCTGTTTTTTTTTTTTGGGGGGGGGGTTATCAAAAACGGTCTACTTTTTCTTTACTCATCACACTTTTTTGGTGAATTTGTAGGGGTACTATGTACCCCATACTTATTCACATGGGGGGGCTTGGATTTGGGGGCCCCCTTGTTAAAAGGGGGTTCCAGATTCTGATAAGCCCCCCCGCTGGCATACCTGCACAACCACCACCCAGGGTTGTGGAGAAGAGACCCTTGTTCCCATCAACATGGGGATCCCCCCTCACCCAAAGCACCCCCCCATGTTGAGAGCATGTGGCCTGGTGTGATCCGGGGGGATTACTGAAGGGTCTGTTATGGATTTTGGGGGGACCTCAGGAATTTTTTTCTTGCCGTGGGGTTCCCTTTACAATCCATACCAGACCGAAGAGCCTGCTATAGATTTTAAGGGGTGTGCACGCTGTTTTTTGTTTAGTTTTTTTATGTCGGGTCTTTATGAACTAGATTAATATGAAGAATTAACAATATTAAAATAAACATAGGTAATGCGTCCCTTCTAATTAATATGAATATATTCGGATGCAGTTAATTCAGATGCACATGACACCAGGCAATACTATTTTGGACCAATTCGTTTTCGGATTTTGTTTCCTATCGTCAGCATTTGTTTTGTATATTCAGAGTAGCTGGTTATTAAAGAGAGGGTGGCCCGCTGTATCCTTAACAACCATGATTCATCTGCTGTCAGCGGGATCCCCTCTATCAGCAGAATGTAAACAAAACAAATGCCAATTTAACCACTAGCCTACAGGGCACTTATACCCCCTTCCTGCCCAGGCCAATTTCCAGCTTTCAGCGCTGTTGCACTTTGAATGACAATTGCGCAGTCATGCAACACTGTACCCATAGGAAATTTTTATAATTTTTTTTGTGACAGATAGAGCTTTATTTTGGTGGTATTTAATCCCCTCTGGGGGTTTTATTTTTTCTTAAACAAACCAAAAACCACTGAAAATTTTAAAAAAAAAACCGTTTTTCTTAGTTTTTGTTATAAAATTTTGTAAATACTGTAAGTGATTTTTCTCCTTCACTGATGTGCGCTAATGAGGCTGTACTGATGGGCACTGATAGGTGGCACTGATAGGCATTGACAGGCAGCACTGATGGGCACTGAAAGGCAGCACTCATATATGGCACTGATAGGCGGCACTGATAGGTGGAACTGATAGGCGGCACTGACTGGCACTGTTAGGTGGCACGGACTGGCACTGTTAGGCGGCACTGTTAGGCAGCACTGACGAGCACTGATAGGCAGCACTGATGCACAATGATAGGCGGCACAGACTGGCACTGATAGGCGGCACTGACTGGCACTGATAGGTGGCACTGATTGGCAGCACTGACAGGTGGCACTGACTGGCATTGATAGGTGGCACTGATAGGTGACACTGAAATGCAGTTCAGATGGGCACTGATTTGTGGCATGGATGAGGCACTGATGGGCACTGGCAGGTGGCATGGATGAGCACTGAGAGCTGGCACTGATAGGCACTGACAGGTGGCATTGCTGGGGCTACACAGCTCATCAGGGCACACTGATCTTCAGTGCTCTGATGATCTGTGTACATGTCCCCTCCAAGGAATGCCGATTACCGGCTCTTCTCTCCTTACGAGCTGTCAGCGTGACAGCACGTGGGGAGAGAAATGCCGATAACCGGAATTTCCCTGTTTAAATGTGATCAGCTGTTATTGGACACAGTTTATCACATGACCGAGCCAACATCTTCGGCTCTTTCCGTGGATCGGTGATCCGCTGTGTCCGAGGGACACAGCACACCGCCGATCAGCGCACTGCACGCTCCGGTAGCCGCGCATGCGTGGTTAGAATTGGAGGACGTCTTCCCAGAACGAGAGAACCGCCCTTGCATCCGTCATATTACTATATGGCGGGCGGGAGGCAGTTAAAAAATGTTTTAAAAACACTGTGGGGAGCCTCCTCAATCCTTAACAGGCAACCTTATGCGGGATCTGGAGGCAGGGGACTGGATCTAGAGGCCACATTGTTAAAGGGGGTTTCCAGTTTCCAATAAGCCCCCCGCCCACAGACCCCACAACCACTACCCATGGTTGTGGGGAAGAGGCTATTGTCCCAATCAACATGGGGATGAGGTGCTTTGGGGAGGGGAGCCCCCTTCCCAAAAGCACCCTCCCATGTTGAGGCGATGTGGCCTGGTATGATTTGGGGGGGGGGGGGGGTGCTTTTGCTTGCCACCTCCCTTTCCTGGTCTGCTGGACTGCATGCTCACATAAAGGGTCTGGTATGGATTTTGAGGGGAACCCCATGCCATTATTTTTTTACCTTTTTTTTTTTCATCGGCACTTCTTTTGATTACACTCTGCAGTCAGCATGATAGCTGTTAAGGATTTGGTGGCCATTAGGCCGCCCGTTTCTTAACAACCAGCTGACCATCACAATGAATTCTGATTGGATTCAAAAATATGAAATCCTTCAGATATAAATGAATATATGAACCACATGACAAATATACAAAACGAATTCCAAAAAACGAATCTGTTCAACATAACAAATACAACAAAACCAAATTCTTCAATTAAATGAAACGAAAACAAAATGAATATTTGGGCCATGCATATGTCTAATACACTCCTATGTGTTTATATGACAAGGAGTGAGTGACTTCTATTTAATCAGTTATTTATCTATATGTACAGTAGTGTAGTCAGTGTTAGGTAAGCAATTTCAGATAATCACCAGCATCTAAAATGAATAATATAACCTAGTTATGATTCTAGGTAGTATGATTCTGCTATATTTACAACTATATTTTTATTTCAAATGTATACTATTTTTATTAAATAAAATAATGTAAACTAAGAGACACTGTAATAGGATTTGTTTTGTGCTAGTATTTTTTGCGAATAAAAAGGCTTGTCATATAAAAAATTAAACAGTGATGAGTGAACCAATAATGACACAGTGGGCACTGCGCTCCAGATGTCTGCCTGAGTTACCTACAGGGCATAAACAGCATAGACCAAGCAAGTGGATCAATAGAGATGAGAGAGAAAGGTGGGAGGCAGGAGAGCGGCTTTGTATACATAGATATGTCAAGCAAGAAAGCAGATAGGAAAATAGATTAAGAGGAAGAAATAGGCAAACAAAGGGAGAAGAACTGACTGAAGGCTGGCTATGTAACAACAAAGAACAAAGTATAAAACAGATGCCGAATGTAGGGAGCCTCATATAAGGAATAATGTAGATGAAAAGTAATGTGACGCTTAGAAGACATTAAAGGATAAGAGGTGCCTGCACCTCCCACTTACTTCTGATGTCTATGGGCAGCTTCTTATTGGCACTGAAACAGACGGTGCCTTCCAGCAGTCTTGGCAAACAAAAACGAGTATACTCAAGATAAATTCTGCTTTACTTTTCTTCGTTAAAGGAACAGCAAAGCTAAATGTCAAATATAGAATTGGAAAATGGCTGTTTATATTTTAGAATTTTCCTACAGTTACCATAAATGTGACAGTAGCTCAGATTACTCTGGGGGATCAGGAAGGACTTCTTCTACCAACTCATGTTGGCCATTTGAAGTTGGTGGAGGCAAACAATAGATTTCAATTATTAGGATCAATTATAAAAGACTGCCTGCATGCACTATAGCAATCAAGTTTAATCTCTTCCTTTCCAGCTGTCGTTTTCTGGTACAGTTCTTAATCTGGTTAGCTGAAGTTCCACTTTAACTTGGAAAAAAAAATGGCAAACAGGCAGGCTATATAATGCAGAAGAGACATATTATGTTTCTACTGCATTAAACACTTGCCCTCTGGAAGATTTTACCCCCTTCCTGTCCAGGCCAGTTTTTGCTATACCGCACCGCGGTACTTTAACTGACAATTGCGCAATTGTGCGGTCATGCAACACTATACCCACATGAAATTTCCAATTTTTTTTTTCCACAAATATATAGGGCTTTTTGTGTTATTTAATCGCCAGTGGGGTTTTTAATTTTTGCCCTATAAATGAAAAATGACCGACAATTTTGAAAACAAAATTAATATTTTTTTACTTTCTGCTATAAAACATATACAATTAAAAAATGTGTAAAAATCACATTTCATCATACATTTAGGCCAAAATGTATTCTGCTATATATTTTTGGTAAAAAATAAATACCATTAAGTGTATATTGATTGGTTTGCAGAAACGTTTTAGCTTTACAAACTATGGGATATATACTGGAATTTTTATTCATTTATTTATACTAGTAATGGCAGCGATCAGCGACCTATAGCGGGACTGTAATAGTGCAGTGATCAATCTGACACATACTTTGTGGGAACCAGTGACGCTAAAACAGTGCTAATATACACTGACACTATACTAATGTCCCTGGTTAGGAAGGGGTTAACATCTAGGGGCGATCAAAGGGTTAAGTGTATTGCTAACAGTGCTTTTTGTGTGTACAGGGTGCTGCTTTTACTAGGGGATGCAGTATTTTCCATTATCTTGTGTGTTTGCACTTAAAGCATTACTAAACCCAGGACTCTGCATTATTTGAGCAAATATAAACTGCTAAATACCTTTTCTCATCAGTGATTAGTGCAGTCTTGTGACTTCTAACAGTGTTCAGCAGAGCACATGTTAAATCTTGTAGGAGGAGTTTTCTTTAGGAGGATGCAGGACCCCTGACCTCTGCCTTGACAGTGCTGATCTGTGCTGATCACATGCCTTCTTCCAAGAAAAAAGAAAAAAACCTGTCTTGCAATACATAGAAACATAGAAAAGTGACAGTAGAAAAAGACAAAGACAGAGTGGTCCATCGAATCTACCCATTTTTTTTTTTTTTGCATGTGTGTGTGTTTTTGTTTTGTTTGTTTTTTTTTTTGGGGGGGGGGGTTAACTTTTCTGTCTGAGTATAGATCTATGCTCCTTCCAAGCATGTTTGAAGCTATTTACTGTGAACTGGCTCACTACCTCTGCTAGAAGTTTATTCCAAGCATCAACTACTCTTTCAGTAAAATAGTACTTTCGGAGATTAGTTTTGAACTTTCCTCCAGTTAGTCATGTCCCCGTGTTCTTGATTTTGGTTTTGTGTTGAAAATACTGCCCTCCTGAACCTTATTCACCCCCTTGATGTATTTGAAGGTTTCAATCATGTCTCCCCGTTCCCTTCTTTCCACCAGACTGTAAATGTTAAGTTCCTGAAGTCGATCTTGATATGTTTTATCCCCCAGACCTTTCACCATTTTTGTTACCCATCTCTGGACTCTTTCTCTCTTATCAATATCTTTTTGTAAGTGAAGTCTCCAGAAGTGGACATAGTATCTAAGTGAGGTCTAACTAAAGATCTATATAGGGGAATCAGGACCTCCTTCCTCCTGCTGGTGATCCCTCTAGTGATGCATCCTAGAATTCTATTCGCTTTCCCCACTGCCTGGCCACACTGTTTGTTCATTTTGCAATCATCTGAAAAAGTACCCCCAAGTACTTTTCTTCTAAAGTGCTGACCAACACTGTACCCCAATGTTGTACTCTCTCAAGGGATTTTTTTCCCTAGGTGAATTATTTTACGTTTAGAAACATTGCACTGCAATTTCCACTTTTTTGACCAATCTTCCAGCAATGCCAAATCATGTTCCATATTCCAAACACCTCCAGGGATATCAACCCTATTACACACCTTTGTGTCATCTGCAAAAATACATACCTTACCCAACAAAACTTTATTTATATCACTTACATAAAGATTAAATAGAACAGGACCTAGCACAGAACCTTGTGGTACACCATTAGTGACTGGTCTCTGTTCTGAGTAAACCCCATTTACAACCACACTCTGGTATCTATCCTTTAGCCAGCTGCATATCCACCAGGGGCGGACTGACAACTCATGGGGGGCCCCCAGGCAATAGGGGATCATGGGGCCCCTTTGTCCTTGCTCAAACTCAAAAAAGCCTATGAAAAAGGTACCAGGGGCATCTCATGTGGCCCCCTACTGACCCCAGACCCTCGGGCAGTGCCCGAGTTTCCAAATGGTTAGTCCACCCCTGATATCCACTGAACCACCCAAGAGCTAAGTTCTAGCTTGTACAACTTTTGTATCAGATCATTATGTTGAACTGTATCAAATGCCTTGCTGAAATCAAGATATACTATGTCTACAGCACCACCCTGGTCCAAAACATTGATAATATAGTCAAAAAATCTAATCAGATTAGTCTGACATGATCTGCCCTCAGTAAAGCCATGCTGCTTTGGATCAAGCTAGGTGTGTGCTTTTAAGTGATCTATAATCCTTCTTTTCAGGAGTGATTCCATTAACTTTACTACTACCGATGTTACACTTACTGGCCTGTAAATGCCAGCTTCTACCTTGCTGCACTTCTTGTGGATAGGTACAATATTAGTTGTCTTCCAGTGATGGGGAACTTCTCCTTTTGGAAGTGATTAATTAAAAAGATCAGTTAATGGTCCAATAACTATACCTCGAAGTTCTCTTAGATTTCTGGGATGAATACATCAGGGCCCATTATTTTATTAATCTTTAACCGAGCCAGTTCCTCTGCTACATCTGTCTCAGGAAATCATAAAAATGAACCATCATTACTAGAACCAATATGATTTCGCAACTTATTATTGTTAGTATAATTTATGTCTGAGAAGACTGCGAAAAGTAATTGTTTAAGTGGTTTGCTACATCCAGGTCTCCCTTAACATAAGTGTTGTGTCCAGTTTTCATTTTAGTGATCCCATTGTATTTTTTGTTTCTATCACTAATGTACCTAAAAAAGGTTTTATCTCCTTTCTTAATAGATTTAGCAATTTCCTCCTATTTCTGTGCT